CAGACAAACTCTCTAAAACAGTGTTTGAGAAAGGTGCTGACAGACTGCTTATCTAAAGCCTCCACCGCCTTGCAGCTCCCATTGGCTCTGGTTCACCATTTCCAGTCCAGGGGAGCTGCAGGAAGCAGAATTCTGGACCACATCGCTTCCCGCAGCTCCCTTTGGCTGGAAACAGGAAACTGGATCCAATGGGAGCTGTGAGGCTCTGTGGCTGCAGAACCTTTAGATCAGCAGTTCCCAATCTTTTCCAGATAGGGACCCATTTAGACAATTCAGGAAGACCTGGTGACCCAAGGCAATTCAAAAACAGGAGACGGAAAGGGGGCACCTGGGGAGACACTTGGCAACCCTTTTGAAATATAATGGTGACCCATATTTGGATAAACAAATTTAGATAAAGCAGAGTGGCCCATTAGTAGCTTTCTCAAAGTAGCCTGAAAACACTGCTTTAAAATATATAGTAGTGGGTTTTTTAACCAGTTTTCAAATATGTTTTAAGGCTATTTCCACTTCCATTAAATGTACATCTTAAGCTTCTTTGTTATATCACTGTATAGCTGCTGAACATGCACATGAAAAAAGAAATAATACATGAGCCTAAGGAATGATTGTCTCTGTTTATATGAATAACAGAGGTGAGAAACTTCAACAAGAAGGGTTCCTACTGGTGTCCTGGACAGTCAGCACTGAGGAAACAACTTAACTCCCAACTGTACCAGTGGTGCCAGATTTTCAGAACCATGTCAACAGAAAGCTTGCCACGAATTGATACATCCCAAATCTAACAGCTCCCTCTGTTGGAATCTTCATGAACCTATTAGGTAGGACAAGAGAGTGTTCGTCATAGCACGTTCCCAGCTGAAAGGGATCGGTCTACAATGGGCAAAATACTCCATGACAACTCTAGTTTCTTACTTGCTCAGTGGTTAATGCAGTAATTTTACATGTAAAGATAAATGTAATTAGTACCCAGTTACTGGTATAACTTAAAATATGAATAATGAAGGATTAATACACTGTCCCAAGAGTCCTAGATATTCAGTTAAAAGATGGACAGTTGTAACTAATTAACAAAGAGAAGTTTAGATTATAAAATATCAATAATAAATTATTTGGATAATTGAACAACAAATTAAAGGGACACTATCAATCTGTGTGGGCTAACTGTAAACCTTTCTTCAAGGAAGACACATCTTGTAAGGCATTCCTACAGGACAATGATTAACATACAAGGGAGAGACTGTTACTTTGTTAATAATTTAATTATATTGTAAATAGCTTGAGTCTATTTCAGTACTTGTGGGGGAAGTCTGCATCACTGTGCATGTACAGATTTCATGCTCCCCCCCCCCCCCCCAACCGAAAAGCAAAGACTTTTGATGGGGATGCAAAGGAAACATGCAAGAGCATTCACCTGTCCCTTCCCATCAGCACGGACAGGTTGGTTTAGGTGCCCAGAGCAGCCAGGAGGATACAATTCACCTCAGAGATGGTGGGGGCAGGAGCTGGGCAGTCATACATGAGGGAGAGAGACATTCTGTCTCTCACTGGCTATTGCAGCACATTCAGCTTTGAGGGGTGGGGCTTTGGGGGTATTTCTGAGGAGATAGGAATGGGGCAGGTTCTGTTCCCTCAGGTATAGCAAAGTGCAGCAGCCTGCCTGCTTAGTGAATTGTTCCCATTCTCTTTGTAAATTCCCCCAAGAGCATACAACAGCTGTAAAAGTTTTAAGGTTCCTTTACATTGCTAGTGATGTAAAGGAAAGTGTGGCCTTATAAATGCTTATAGTGCTTTAGTAATTAGAAATGGTCTGTATTTTTTTGGACTAGCAAAAGGTGCTCCATGAACTATTTGCTGCTGACCTTTCTGGAGATGGTCAGTAGCCAGAATAAACAAAGAGTTTCAGTCCCCAGCCCTCACTTGCTCTTCAGTTGCTCATGATGTTGCACTGAAACTATGGTTGCACATATTTGTTGACTAATAACTAGAAATAAAGGGTTAAACTTACCTACATTACTATTAGCCAGAGGCAGGTTGGGGATTTCTTCCATTGCTCCCCACTCCCATTCTCCATCATTGTGTTTGTAGTTTAAATAAACTACCAAAATAATTGAAACCAATGTGATTATACTGAGTTATTTTGCCAAATAAAATATGCAGAATTTTAAAATATTGGCTGTACAATTTTTATTTTTTTATCCGAATTTTAATTTTTTTGGAGCAGAATTCCCCTAGAAGTACAGTGTTAAGTTTTTGCTTTGCTAAGGAGCCAATGGTTGCCCCCTCCTGGTTATTAAGGCCTGATTTGCAAAAGCTCAGATATAGAACTGCATGCACAGAAATGTGTAAGCCTACTCTATATGTGCAGTTACCACGCGAGCCTGCACAACTGGCCATTTGTGCATGAAATTAACTGATTTGCATATGCAAATGTCTTAACATTTGAAAAGTTAAAAAAATCTCATTAAAATATTTAAAGGATGCAGGGATTCACTTTTCTGTAATAGAAGTTTTTTCTTTTCCCTGAAAAGGCTGATGTCTATTTTAAGCAAAACTGAAAGACGCGAGAGTCTTTCATTTTAAGTATGCACATGGATATTGAGAATTATTGTTTTTGTGTAGATAATGGAATAATTCAGTTTTTACCCTAGATCATAGTATGTGATAGGATTTTTGGTTTGTGTCCATGGCCATTGCAGCTGCAGCAGGCACAGCTGGGGGTGGGGTGCATGTCCCCCAGCTGAGGGGACAGACAGAAAAACTTTCTGAAATATATAGTAGATAGCTGTCCCTTTCTCTATTCTTGCCCCCTTCTGGTCCAATGGGGTGATAGCTGTGCCAGTCTGCATCTCTGGCCCCTTGCTTCCCCCCTGTGATCATTCTGCAATATAACTGTCCCTCCTGCCAAACTTCTCCCTTTAAATTTTTTGTGAAACCATCAAATTCCAGGCACATTTCATTGTTCTGGCACAACCAAACCCTTACCTGGCTTTAAGTTATTATAAAAGGAAGCTGCATGCCAAATGTGGTGGTCCTAGTCCTTATCGTTTAGAATCGATGGACAGACAGACACACATTTCTAAAATATACAGTCAATGAGATTGGGTTAGCAGCTGAGTTGTGAGCTGGGTTGCTGCCTTCCCCTGCATTAACAACTCAAGTCCAGCAGCACTCAAACTTCAACCCACTACTCTTGACAGACCAGCTGCTCAAGCTTAAAAGCACCGCTTACCTTGAGCTAGAGATTTTTGTGTGTAGACTGGTGTTAGATTGGACATACAACTCAAGTTACACCTTGAGCCAATGGCTAGAGTGGTCAGATGTCCTGATTTTATAGAGACAGTCCCAATATTTGGGGCTTTTTCTTAAATAGGTGCCCATTATACCCACCCCATCCCAATTGTTCACACTTTCTCTCTAGTCACTCTGCTGACAGTGAAGACAAAGCCATTATGCTTTCTTTTTTGAAAGTCTTGACTTAAGAATTTCCTCCAGATCAGAAGGGATTATCGACGTGTAGGTTTGCATAGGTATAAATGTGATTTTTAAACGGACTGAGTTAAAGAAATGCAAAAGGCTGGGTGTTTCCATTTAAGCTAGACTTGTTTAATTTAATTGACATTGGTTAGAAGCAGGGTTAACCTAAACTGAAATAAGCCACTTTTACATTGACATGAGTGTAGAAAACGCAGGTGTTTGCTCGAGTTTCATGTGTGTGCAGATTTGTATGTGGGCTCCTCCAGTTTTTTTATAAACCTTCTTTCATCTTCCCAGCTCCACCACTCCCAAACTCTAAAGTAGAGAATCTCTGCCAGTGTTCCCAGTGAGCTGTGCACTTGGGCAGCCACCCAGAAGATATTCAGGTGCCACTCAGCTGATTAGCAGAGCACCCACAGCTGCCCACAGCCGGCAGGCTGTGTTTATGTTGGTAGTGCACATCTGCACAGGCCTTGGCGCACATAACAAAACTTATTCCGCACACGGGTGGAAAACAGGAAAATTGCCTGACACCACGTTTTAATTAAATATGGTTTCCACTCTGGATACTGACCAATGGAATTCCTGATTGACTTAAAACAAAAACGTCCTTGTTAAAACGCCCACAGCCGGCAGGCTGTGTTTATGTTGGTAGTGCACATCTGCACAGGCCTTGGCGCACATAACAAAACTTATTCCGCACACGGGTGGAAAACAGGAAAATTGCCTGACACCACGTTTTAATTAAATATGGTTTCCACTCTGGATACTGACCAATGGAATTCCTGATTGACTTAAAACAAAAACGTCCTTGTTAAAACGCTGAACAGCAGCATGGTCTGGCTTCCTGATGAATGCTGATAACGACAGACAGGTCCAACATTTGGGACACTCTGTGGTTTCCTGCATCAGTTTCACCAATACAGAGTTTGGCTGATGGAGGGAAATGTGAACCCGAAGATTTAGACTGGCGTGTTCTCCTGCAAGCCCTGTTAATCACATCTTTGTTTTCATTTTACTGATATTTTTAAAACACTTCCCTGCAGTGTCATCTGGTCAGGATGTGGGGCACTGAGCTATATCCACAAGTCCACCGCTGACCATTAAGGGAGAAAAACCACATAAGGAGGAGAGTTTGGTTCCTCTCTCTGGTCCCCAGCCATTCTCATGATGTAAACCAGTGGTGGGTAACATGCAGCCCAAGGGCCACATGCAGCCCATCAAGGTTCTGTGTGTGGCCCATGAGACATTTTGTTTACTGTTGCCTGTGTGCAGTTACCAGTTTTTGCTGGTTTCCATCCACATCGGGTTTTTTCCCCTTCCGATATTGCTGAAGTGACATGCATGTATACCAAGGCATGTGAAGTGAGGTGCATGCCGATTACACAGTATTGACTGTGCATCCTATCACAGCCCTGCGATGATTCAATTGGCACACCCCTGCGAATTCTACACACATAAGCGCAGTGAGCAAAATTACCCTGTTCTGGGAGACCGTCTTGGTTATGACACTCTTGCAGCCCACTGAGATGAAGGAGGCACACTCGTGCAGCCCACTCACTAGCCTAGGGTGCCCATCGTTGTTGTAAACTGTTGTCAAGCCATTGGACAGGATCACCATGATGGCCTATTAGTACCTCAGTATCCATTAAAGTTCAGCACATATTAGTCGAGCCCATTAGCACCGCTGCAGTAAAAAGGTCTGTCAATATTTTCATTATGAATCTCTGCACTCAGATGTTTGACTTGTTTGCTTGAGGTGAAATTTGCCCCCCCCTCCCAAAAAAGGGGGGGGGCACAAATTTTCAAAGAATCTGGGCATTAAATCTGAGCCTGCAAATTTCACACCCACAACTATTTGTTGAGTGAAGGTTTGGCAGCAGATGTGAATTTCTGTCTCTGCTATGTAGCAACAATTATTTACACCCATTTAAGGCCTGGCCCTGAAATCCTTTAGGACGCGCTCACTTGTCCCAACGACTGTCTTCCTCAACAGACAATGGCACACGTACCAAAGCAGCACAGTCGCTAGGTGTCATGTGAGGCAGCGTTGCGAGTGGCCCACAAGGCCAATTTTCGAGTGACAGTTCTTGTCACAGTGTGGGGCATAAGAACGAGACATGAAACCATGATGCCAGGTTGAGACCCCTTTGAAAATTTGTCCCCGGCTCATTTGCTCCGCAAGGACAATGTCTTAAAACACAAATGATGAAGAGAACCAAATGGAGACTTTGTATAAGTTATAAGAACGGGGGCAGGGAGAAGACATTTAATAATTTGACATGAACATTGGTATTTAAAATAAACCCTAACAGAATAAAATTGCAGGCCGTAAAAGCCTTCTGTTCCTGGAACACTCGTTGAGTCTAGAGAGAGGTCCACTGGAGACAGCTGCAAAATCACCTCTTTAGAGCATAAAGTGGACCATGCCTTTCTGGGATTTAACGTAAAAAATGATGAATCACTTAACACACACAGGCTCAAAAGCATGTACTGTAGAGGCACAGCTGCTCCTTTGGTGAGCATGCAGCAGTAAGAATCCAGAACTCAGAATCAAGCTCTACACCTCTTGTAAATACATTGCATGCAGTTCACAGGCTCTTTGGAAAGTCTCCTGCCCTCCTTTCAGTGCATACTGGGAACAGATCTAGTGAAGCAGAAAGCACTTGATATGGATCCATAGTCCTGTGAGCCACCCCTCATATGCATTCACAGCTCTGAATCCATTCCTTTGTACACCCTGATGGCACCTGTTGTCTATACAACAACACTGAAGCACACAATAACACGTTAAAGACAGTCCTTGGTATTAAGTTCATGTAGTGTTGATGAAAGAAGCTGATCGACAGCCCCGGAGATGGGCGTTCTCTTCTCATCCACAGAACAGACAACTGTAGAGCACGGACAACTTCAGCATGGTTCCCGCACTGCTCAGGTGTCTCATCTCGCTCTTGGAGGGACGATCTCTCCAGATGAAGGAGTTCACTCTCAGTGAGCCATTTGACCCTGGGCCTCTCTGCTGAGATGCCCAGCTAAGGCACCATGCAGGTGTTTCCTGCCATGTGGGCACTTCTGCACTAGGAACTTGCCTACAGGCACCAACGATTTCAGCTGCCTTGTTCAATCACTAGGAAATTCAAATGTAAACTAGTGACCTAGAGCTGAAAGGCTCCATAACCCATCAGCATCCCCTGAGCAAAGTTCTAACTCTGGATTTCCTCCCTCTTCTGGGTTTAGTTCAGGCCTGTAATAGTCTCTCAATCGATGTTTTTGTTTTGCTGCTTAAATTCTACCTAATAATAATATTTTCTTCTGCAAAGAACCATTTGCACAAGAGTGATCTCTAGGAATTACCATCCTAACTTCTTCGACAGGTGAGATTTGCTGAACTCATCTTTGCAGCGACTATAGATCTATGTAGGCAGAGTCTGTGTCCACCCTTTGGGCTTCTCCAAAGACCAGGAATGTGCAGAGTCCCAGGACATTAACTGTTGCCACAAGGTTGAAAACAGAAGCCCAAGAACCAGTGGTTTCAATCAGATGCCCGGCTAAGTACACACAAACGACACCTGTGTACAGAGAGAGAACAGAAATGAATCAGATAGAACCAAGCCAGGTCCTCGCCCAGCAATGTCAGCCCACCCAGAGGAGTCCCCAAATGCAGGACAATCCCAGGAAAATCCCTTACCTAATAGAGCGCCGCCTGTATTTGCAACACCTGCAAAGAACAGAAGGAAACCACTGCATCACATCAACCTATGCACAATGCTTCTAACCACGAGATACTTGCTAGGAATCTGGGAACACACATTTTGCAACAATGAGTGACTTAGGTGCATGGTTTCTATCTGGGCTTCTATTCTGCCTCCACTTTGGGGGCAGGCAAAACTGCCACCGGCAAACACCAGCTAGAAATTCTAACACTGGCATGCGCCCGTTCGCTAGCCTGACTCCTGTGTGTGCACAAGCATTAGGCTAGTTAAAAGACATGCAGGTGCAGGTGAAAGCACTTGAATAAGCAAAGGAAGAGGCTGGGGGTTGACAATCTAGCTCTGGCTGTGCACAGTGCTACTCCCAAGACTTTTTACTCCCTTTGGGTTGGCTCATGCTGGTTAGGCCCAGCCCCACTGTGTGGGTGTCGGTGCAGAGTAGCTCCTTAGCAAGTAGCATGAGAGAGAGCTCTGGGAAGTGGAATCCCCCCCAGAGCTCACAGAGACCTTACCCATTGCTGCCCCTTCCAAGTAGCACAGCACCTACATTCCCTACGGTGCACTGCTCAGCTGCCCATCTCCTCCCCATCCCCTCCAGGATGTCTGACTCTCCCAGGGGGATGCAGAGACTGCCAGTGAGTCTGGCTGCTGGGTCGGAGAGATGACTCCTTGCACACGCCCTGTGTCCCTGTGAACCCAGAAAGCCCGTCAGCTTCCTAAGCACCCAGAGTGAATTTGGGCACAATCAATTTCTCTCCAACCTGCAGCACAGGGCCGTGACTGCTGCTGTGGCACTTACACTACAAGCTTTCTGCAGAGCTGGGCCATGGCCAGGGGCAGATGACTGTTTTGCGGGGCCCCGGGCAGCATAACTCCGCGGGGCCCCCTTTGCCACGGCGCATGCGCGGGGCTTTTTTAAGCGCAGGGCCCGGGGCGGCCGCCCCGTTCGCCCTGCCCTATATCTGCCCCTGGCCGTGGCTAAGAACAAACTCTGCCTTCAGTTTCACATGGGCAAACCTAATAAAATCCAGAGGCTGCCTGGATTGAGCCACGTTCTGCCCTCAGCGCCTGGCATTTACACAGTGTTCTCTAGGACTCATCCCCCACACCGAGGTATTTTCTGTGCAAATACAAATTGTTCAAAACCTTCCCCCCTCCCTTACCAAACAACAAGCCGGCACACGACGGGGCCAGATCCTGGACGTTGACTGAAATGCCACTGTTTGCAAAGAGAGAAGAAAGTAAAGTATTGTATTATTAAGCAAGATTTGATGGTTTTCCAGAGTGTGCATGAGACAAGCACGCCTTTGCTCATGAAGGGAACCAATTCTAACCAACCCCCTGAAGAGAAGACGGAGGAAACTGAGAACCAAAATAGAACTGAAATTGAACCAAATAACTGAACAGAAAGACTTCAGCACCAAAGCAGCAGAGAGTCAGAAAGTACAGTGCTGCTTGGATGGCTGCAGTTGCATTTATACAGTGCTAGATGGGGCCAGGATGAAATCTGAAGTCTTTTTAGTGTGCTAGACTGCTAGAACGTGCCAGCTTCACATGGCAAGACCACGACACTTCCTCCTGCTAGACTAGGATGTGGTGTTTCTGTACCCCAGATCAGACCCACTGGGCTATGAAGTATTCTGCAGAGACCAACACCTAATGCTTTGATTAAGAGCTTTTAAAGCCAGAAGGAATCATTAGATCATTTAGTCCTGGGATCTCAAACTCCTGGACCATGAGTCATCCCCAGCAGGAACAATGGCACAATCTGGCCTGGGACTCCCAATCCCAGCCCCCAAGCCGTCCTTTCCCGCCATCACACCCTCCATGGCACCCGATCCCCGAGAACACAGCTTTGGGGATCACCAGGGGACCTGGTGCCATGCGGTGGCAGCCATGCCCCCCTCAGTCCAGAGCCACAGGGAAACAGAGTTAGGTGTTACTCCTATGATGATGATGATGATTACCTATGGTTAAAGGTCTGAAGTCCAATTGAGACCGATGCAAATACTATAGCTTTGCAAAAACTGGATGTGTGACCCATGCACAAGGCAAAAATGCTTGAGACGCCTGAGCCGATGACCTGAAGGAAAAAGAAAATTGCAGACCTTAGAAGAGTCGCAGCAAGTTGCAGTAAAAAAAAGCAGCTGTCCCATTTTGAAAGGTGAAGGGCTTGCTATGGTTCTGCTCAGAGCTGGGCGGCCCTTAGGACTTGCTCTCCTGTGTACTGCTTTTGTGCATCGGCCCATCTGCACAGGCAAGTGCCCTTTTGCGAGGCAGAGGTGATGGAGCATGTGAGAGAGCAGCATTTCCCAAACCATGGGTCCTGGTAATGGGAAGGGTCTACATGGGTTCCCAGCCACTGCCCCCCATGCCATTTCCCCCCGCCTCCCTGGCTGCTCTTTTCTGCTTGGCCAAGGAAGCAGGCAGCGGCCTGGTGAGCATGATCCAGGCAGCGGCAATGTGGAGGAAGCTGCCGCCTGTGGCCAGTCAGCCACCTGGTACTGATTATGGCCTCGTTGTAGGGCGAGAAGGGCTGACTGGGTGCAGCAGGAGGTAGAGCTGGGAGAGTGAGAGCAAGGGGCTGGGGGGAGGGAGCTGAGCAGAGGGCGCTGCTAGGCTGGTGAAGGGTTGAGAAGGGGAATGCGGAGGAGAGAGAGCTCAAAATTGCTGTTGTACACTCACAGGATTCAAAACACAATCGTTTCTCTACCAAACGGTGGCCTCCCAGAAGAGACCAAATGCAGTTGCTGGGGGCACCTTAATAAAAAGTTTGGGAACCACCGTTCTACAGAAGGGGTGGGCTGTAGGAATTACATTCTTGTTTGTTCTTTTGCTGTTTCCCTGACGCTAAGTAAGACATTCAGTGAGAGAGAACATGCTCACTCCGCGTGTCTGACAAAAACCCTCCATATCACTCACAAAATCACCACTCGGGGCAAACTGGTAAAATGCAATGGTTTGTCAAAGCCCAATGAAAAAGTCATGGCTTCTCTCTGTATTTCCCCCCATCCATGCTGGATACCATACTATCTGTTGTCTAGAAAAGCTTTTTTTTTTTTTTTTTGGTAACCAACACCTCAAGTTCAGTTTCCCAAAGAGATGTACTCTGATTTCCACTGTTATACTTTGGCTAGGTCTTTACTAGACCCAGAAGATTGGCTTAAGGTACGTAACACCAGCTATGTCACTAATGTAGCTGGAATCGACATACCTTAAGCTGGGCTTGGCGCTGTCTCCACAGGGAGAGATCGACGGGACCAAACACTTCCCTTACTCCTTGCGAGGAGCAGAAGTACTGGTGCCAACAAGGGGCAACCTCAGCATTTGATTCAGTGGGTCCTTACTAGACCTGGTAAATCGAACACCAGAAGACTGATCTCTGGCATGGCAAGTGGAGACGTAGCTTGACATGCAAAGTAGACACTAACAGATAACTGATGTTTCATTCATAGGCTTTCGTTTTCTTACCTGCATGAACTTACGAACAGTAATAGTTTTATACCCTGAAAGGGAAAAGACAGATAATTGGAGATATTTAAACTAGATCCCTCTCAATAAAGCTGTGACAGTTTTTTCAGTCTCCAAGGCTACATCTAGACTGGCATGATTTTCCGCAAATGCTTTTAACGGAAAAGTTTTTCCGTTAAAAGCATTTGCGGAAAAGAGCATCTAGATTGGCACGGATGCTTTTGCGCAAAAGCACTTTCTGTGGAAAAGCGTCTGTGCCAATCTAGACACAGTTTTGCACAAGAATGCCCCGATCACCATTTTCACCATCGGGGCTTTTTTGTGCAAAACAGTTTTTAGCTGTCTATACTGGCCCTCTGGCGCAAATACATTTGCGCAAGAGGGCTTTTTCCCGAACAGGAGCAGCATAGTATTTGCGGAAGAACACTGACAATCTTACATGAGATATTCAAGGGTCCAGTGTAGAGAGCTGGCAAGTTTTTCCGCAAAAGCGCTTGCTTTTGCGGAAAAACTTGCCAGTCTAGACGCAGCCCAAGAGTTCAACACGGATAGCTTTGGGGTCTTACCAGGAGAGTGAGTAGGTAAACTTCACACTCTCAGGGGCAGATTCTGTTCTCAGATAGGTGCTTTCAATTCCCATGCAAGACAAAGGCATTACAAAAGTGGGGTATGTCTACACTACTCCGCTAGTTCGAGCTAGCGGGGGTAATGTAGTCATCCGCAATTGCAAATGAAGCCCGGGATTGGAATTTCCCGGGCTTCATTTGCAATTGCGGATGACTACATTACCCCCGCTAGTTCGAACTAGCGGGGGTAATGTAGTCATCCGCAATTGCAAATGAAGCCCGGGATTGGAATTTCCCGGGCTTCATTTGCAATTGCGGATGACTACATTACCCCCGCTAGTTCGAACTAGCGGGGGTAATGTAGTCATCCGCAATTGCAAATGAAGCCCGGGATTGGAATTTCCCGGGCTTCATTTGCAATTGCGGATGACTACATTCCCCCCGCTAGTTCGAATTAGCGGGGTAGTGTAGACATACCCATGTAGAGGACAGTGTTTATCCAGCTTCCAGGCCAGAAGCTCAGCTCCCCCAGAGAATAAATGTGGCTCCCTTTCTATCAACAAACCAACCCCTCTCATCTAGGCCTTTCTTTGCCTTATGAAAAGACAGAGCTGGTGAACCACTGAAGAGTCTCTTACCTTGATTGATCAGGTGATCAGACAGGAATCCGCTAAACAAACTTGCTGGGATTGCAACCAGCCATGGCACGACATTAAACACCCAGCCCTGAAAGGGAGAAAAATCCTCACAGGAAAAGTGAAGAGAAGCAACTTTTGCATCCTGCTCGTGTAGCAGGGCTTGATTGCAGCTAAAGGATTTGATAATTGAAGAGGACGGGCGAAAGAAAGGGGAATTATTCGGGTTTACACTTTTTGCTCACAACACTCTGCCTGATGCTCTATACAATTCTGCTGCAGCTACGGATCAGTCCTCAGGTCTATTATGTATGTGCACATTCGGTGGTATATGAATAAATGAACTATTAACAACCCTAAGGTCTGATTGGCTTTACACCCATGATAGAGAGGCACAAATCTCTCTCAACCTCAGTAAGGAAGGATTAAAAGTGGCAGACTTTCCTGGTGAACTTTCCCGACCAGCTGCTATTGGTGCCAATGGTGTACAGTCCGTCCAGTCAGGGAAGTTGGCAACCCTACAAACAAGATTTTGAAGCACAGAGCCAGGATGCAAAGTGTGTTTTCTGTCCTGCCTCTTGGATCACCAGCAAAACTGCAAACCAGATTCTGACTCCGCACACTATTATGTTAGCTAGCTTAGCGATGAAGCTGAGGGACCATCGCTGGATTTTCTGACGCCAAGGTTGGGCTTTCAAGACTGATAAAGTGGAAAATCCAGCCCTTAGTCACTTTTAAAAATGGAACTTAGGCTCCTAAATTGCTTGGGAAGCTTGAAAATGTGAGTCTGGATTTCAGAAGCTCGGTTCTTGCTGCTCCCACCGCTGCCAGCTGGAGCATTTCTTGCGCAGTAGCTCTAAGCCTATGGCCCAAAATATACATAAGAACATAAGGAGAAACAACAATGCCACCTTGTTATTTTACAGGTCCCTTTTCAAATCCTAGTTTACCTCCTGGCATGGGCCTGAGGTGCAGGATTCTCTTGTTTAATTGGATTCAGAGAGAAAACACCTCATCTGCAGCATGTATGTTTGACCAGTAGGTGACATAATTTTACCACATTAAGGGTTATCGTCAGCCCTTTAAATTCACATAGAATAAACCCACATTTTACTGATATGTATGAAGTGATAGCCAGATGCAGGAACATTATGTAGAGCATTTTACATAAGGGCACAGGAATGAAATGCATAACAGATGGCTAAATTACCAAATCACTCCTTCAAAAGCCTATTAGAAGAGGTGCTGCGAATCTTGTTGTGGCAATATGTTTGTGGGTTTAATACATGATTTTAATATAAATATCAAATATGTCATACAACCCTTTGTCAATGCAATACATGTAAGTAGGCCTGGGAAATTCCAGAAATCCATGACAGAGCCACCATAGAGAATACAATCTTAGTATTTCTGCAGCAGAATGGATTGTAAAAATACAAGCTCTCAGCCGGGAAGAATTTTAACAAAGTTTCAGAAAAAGCAGGAGATTTGTTTGTGCGGGGCAGAGAGCAGCTTCCTGTTCCCGCCTCCTCCCTTTGATCCCCTCCCAGCCCAGCTGGGCCATGCACTGGGTTTCCTAGCTCTTGTCCCTTTGCAGCCCAATTGGGTTGCATGTGCCAGGTCTTTCACCCCCACTTGCATCACGCCAGGTTCCTGGCTTCCCACCTGGCGCCCACACGCGTGCACCCACACACACACACACACACACACTCCGTGCCAGGCTCCTGGTTCCCCCCCAGACACACACATACATTGTACTGGGCTCCCAGCCCCTGCCCCCCACAAGGTTCCTTCCAAGCTGTGCGGCAGCACAGCCTTGCAGCTGCTGAATGAGCCCTGCCCAGCCAGGGACTCAGGACTTGCACCCGTGCATGGAGGTGCCTGGCTGCGGGAGGGGCACTTCTCAACAGGGAGCTGCTGCGGTTGCTAAGGGAGAAGTGCCCCTCCCCTAGCCAGACAGCTCTGCCCCATGAGTCCTGAGCCTCCGACGGCCAGGGCTCATTCCACAGCTGCGGGGCCCTGCTACCGCACAGCTTAGAGGGAACCTTGACCCTCACCCCAAGCAACACACCTGGACTCTCTGATACGGGAACATCTGTGGCCATGCCGGACCATGGATGTTGCGAAACCAGAGAGTTCCGGTTTAGAGAGGTGCAACCTGTAATGAAAACTACCATTGTAACAACTAACAATATTGTGCCCGTTGGTGCATTTGCAGATTAAACAATATGGCCGGATCCTGCAATCAGATCCCTTGAATCCAATAGGCAGGTTCAAGAGTCCATCCTCAGGCTTCAAAAGCATGGCTCAGTGTCTATAGTTGTAGCTTTGTTTTAGAAGGGACGTGTAGGAGAAATTAATAAGACTGGAAACTTTTCAGCTTGGAAAAGAGACACCTAAAAGGGGGGGGGGGGGGTCTGACAGAGGTTTTTAAAATCATGGCTAGGGTAGAGAAAGTAAATAAGGGAGTTTTATGTACTCCTTCTCATAAGAACTAGGGGTCACCAAATGAAATTAATAGGTAGCAGGTTTAAAACAAATAGAAGTATTTCTTCACCCAATGCACAGTCAACTTGTGGAACTCCTTGCCAAAGGATGTTGTGAAGGCCAAGATTATAACAGGGTTTAAAAAGGGAACTAGATAAATTCATGGAGGATAGGTCCATCAATAGATATTAGCCAGGATGGGCAGGGAAGATACCCTTAGCCTCTGTTTGTCAGAAGCTGGAAATAGGTGACAAGGGGATGAATCACATGATGATTACCTGTTCTGTTTATTCCCTCTGGGGCACCTGGCCACTGTCAGAAGACAGGATACTGGGCTAGATGGACCTTTGGTCTGACCCAGCATGACTGTTCTTATGGTCTTACGCATGGAAAGTATTAAATAGCTGGACTCCTGCATATATCAAGTACATACTCCCTGCTTGCCAACACCCTCACTTAAGAATCCGGGGTAAAGGCAACTGGCAGCCCCATGTATCTAAGGTTACAGCACATTCATATCTGGCAGAAATCATTCCTCTTTCTTCTTCCCCCTTCAGCAATGTGTGATCCCAAGAAAAAAAATGTTTCTCTTATATTGACAGCGTCTTTCGATCTCATCCAAAAATCATGGGTGCTCTCCTAGACCTCAGTTCCCAGCTGTGTTTTGGTAGTGGTGAGGAGCTGCCTCAGATCTTTTGGGCTACAAAAGAAGCTTTGGACAATGCAAAAGCAGCTTCTTCTTGAGAGTTTGACATTATGGAGCAACTGAGATTGTTACTCCCAGACACATTCTAGGAAGGCTTCTGGTAGCAAAACGTGGGACGTGACAAAATGTGAGTGAACCAATCAGAACAAGACCAAAGTGTGAGACCAGTCAAAATCAAATGTACGGGGCGTGAAGGTTACTAAAATCAACCTCCTACTGTTACTGGCTCAGATGCCAAAAAGGGCTGTTCTCTTCAGGCCTAATCGGGAGACTGCTGAAGTCAATGTAAAGATTCCCAATGCAAACGGGAGCTGTGTAACTGCACAGAGAATACCACACCGCCCTTTGTTTGTGCTCAGCTTTGAGAGTCTCCTCTTCGGTGCAGCGTCAGCCTACCTTAGACTCAGGAAAAGTGTCCTTAAAGAAAGTTGGCAACCAGGAGAGGAGAGTGAAAAATGTGCTGCCTGTAGAAAGCTGAGCCACTATGACCGCCCTATAAATATACAATAGGGCAAAGAATCAATCAAGATGACAGATCACATTGGATACAAAAAGGGGATTCTGCTGCCCACTATTTCAAGGCAGTGGGGTCAGGCATATCAATAAACCCTCTAGTTCGGTGGTTTTCAAACTTTTTTTCTCATGACCCAGTTGAAGAAAATTGTCGATGCCGCGACCCAACTTAATTTGACTAGAGTGTGGGCTCCAGGGTGGAGCTGAGGATGAGAGCTTTGAGGAGGAGGCTCTGGCTTGAGGAAGGGGGGGCAGGGTTGGGGCAGGAAGGGCTTACTTTGAGCAGCTCCCTGTCAGTGGTGCAGCGGAGGAGGGAGGGGGCTAAGGCAGCTTCCTGCCTCTCCTGGCACCGCAGACCACGCTGCACCCCAGAAGCAGCCAGCAGCAGGTTCCCAGCTAATGGGAGTGCGGAGCTAGTGTTTAGGGCAGAGGTAGTGTGCAGAGCCCTCTCCCCCTAGCAGCTGATCCTGTTGCTGACCACTTCTGGGGTGCAGCGCGGTTTGCGGTGCCAGAAAAAGGAGGTAGCTGCCTTAGCACCCCCACTGGTCCCCTGAGCCCCCTTCAGCAACAAGACCCAGTGCCTGACATTCCACCGCCCAGTACAGGGTCGTGACTACAGTTTGAAAACCACAGATCTATAGCCTCGAAGCAGCTTCCTGCGATTCACTGCAGATAACTCCACCCCAGCTGACGGCCAAAGCAAGAAGATAGAGCAACACACCCGCTTATTCCCACAATGCTTTCACCACAGGCCGTGCTGAACGGGGCCTTGAACAAAGCTGATGTCCTGATACAATCGGTGCGGATAACATCACGCTCTTCAGTTCTAAGAGCCCCATTAGCTCCTTCCTTACTGCAGGACTCGTGTCCTTCCTAGGGATTTAGCTTAGGTTGGGGTGGGGAACCTTTTTTGGGTCGGGAGTCGCACACAAGTGAGAAGCAAAAAACCAAAACCAAACCCTCATGGCCCCGACTGAGGAGAAAGACACTCCCCACATTCCCTTCACACACCAGAGCCTGGGGGAGGCGGGAGCAGCCTAGTAGATTGTGTGTGCTCAGCCCCTTGGGGAGGCAGCGGGGGGGGGGGGGGGGGGGGCAGAAC